ATAAATAGAATAAAAAGGCCCGTCAATTTGGCACGCGTGGCGTTTATGGCGGAGCTAGGGGGTCATCGCGTCGTTTACGGCCGTCGCAACGTTGGCGCACCTGTCTGGGGAAATTATACGGCCAGCGCGCGTTCCCCCCAATGATCTGACCCGGGCGGGGCGGTGCGGTGCAGGGCTGCGCGTCTCTGCTGCAGCAAAAAGTACTCGGGCTTAAATGTTTGGCGCTTGAATTAAAATCGTGACGGAAAAGTCGACACATTAAGTAGGACTAATTTCATCTTTGACATATTGGGAGAATTTGTACTTCTCACGATATTTCCCGGTTCATTTTTTTTGTGGCATATGGAAAACAAGAAACAAAACACCACGACACAGACTGTATAGCTGGCGCGTTTGTCGAAAATGCGCCAAGCGTTAGAAACAGAGTGTTTTGAATTGAGAGAGGTTATGAGTTCTACCTATATCTTCCCCTATGTCCACGTGGTGCTCGCGGTGCTTGGCGTCGTCACGAGCAGGCGGTGGCGGAGAGTGGTGCGGCAGGTGGATTACGACCAGCCAGGCAGAACGGCAATGTAAATGTCTCGGAGGGGCGGGGCGGGGCGGGGCCACCGTGCAGAAGTCGCGCCATCAGCGCCAACCGTTGCGCGCATTGCCAGACTATCCTCTCCCGCAGAATGAAAACAAAATAAAATGGAGAGCGAGAAGCGGCGTGCCGTGGTGTGGCGCGGCGGGGCGGGGCGGCTGCCTGTGCCATGGCCTGGCCAAACAGAGTGTGTAGAGCAGACTCCACTCCCCCGTTCCGACAAAAGTTTGGCGCGCGCAGAACCGCTCCGAAAACTGGGGTAGCAAAAATAAGAGCAAGGCTAGTCGGCCGCGCGAGCGGGGTGGGGTGCAGGGGTGGGGTGGGTTGGGGTGTGGCGGGGCGGGTCTCCATATTGTGCCGCAAACAGAGCATTCCCAAACATGTTTACATTGCCACATAAAGGATTTATGCACAGCTCTGTGCGCTGGCCGGGACCTGAGGAAGCAGAAAGGCCCACACCCCCGAGGCCAAAGCGTGTAGTAACAACCATACACGTCGCGTACTTTGGGGGACTAAAGCATGGTTAGAAACATGAATATCCTAAAACTATGTGACGTATTTAGAAAACTGCGAGGAATTGACTGGGCTGGAAACATATTTTAATGCAGACAAAACTACAACAGAGTGGTTTTGTTCTCAGTGGAGCATGGGAGGGTGGAGGGTCCCGATGTGACGAGCTGCAGAGCCAGACACCAGACGGCTCGGATTTATTACTCTACACGACGCGGCCGCGTCGGGCCACTGATGAGATTCGGCGTCAGACTAGGTTAACGGTTCAAAATACCTGCAAATCCGTCCACTTCCCAGGGACAAAGAAAAACCCGACCCATTTATTTGAACCACCGAGGACTTCCTCCGGACCCAGTTGTGACCGAAGGGTATGAGTGTTGAGTATTGGACCCAGTTGCAACCGAGGTGCGTACATCACAACCATATAGCAGCGGTCGGGCGGTGTTGGAGAGACGGGTCACCCCAGCGTGGTCAGGCCGTAAAAAAAGGATACGTGATGCGCAAAGGGTGTGGAAGCTAGCGACCAGAGAGAGAGAGAGAGAAGGGGGGGGGGGGGGGGGGGGGGGGGGGGGGGGGGGGAGGCGGAGCAGCGGCACCAGGAGGAGGGACTTGACGACGCGACCGAGTCGCTTCACGAGCCGTGTCCATTGTTTGCCCTTTTGTCTCTTCGGACGCACACGACGACCCTCTCTCTCCTTCCGGACAGTTTCGCAAAAGGTACTACTGGTGCGTGTGCCGCCCGAGAGCAGAGCCCTTCGAGTCCCTTCCTCCTCCTCCTCCTCACCTCGTCAGCATAGCACCGCGACGCAGACATGGCGAGGGAGGGGTGAAGGGTTGACGACAAGTGAGCGTGGGGGGGAGGAGGATGTGGGAGGGGGTGGGGGGGATGGAGGGGTGAATTCGAGGAGTAAGGGGGACTTAGAGCTGAAGGCTATGGGAAGGTGGTCCAGGAGGGGAGGAGATACGTCTCAAGAGTAGCGTAGCAAAAGCGTTTTGGATTCCTTCTCCACTCGAATGTTTCTAAACGGAGACACGGTACCACCCCCTCAACCTCCCATCCTCGATTTCCAATGCAGTGTACCGCTCACTGTGAGTTTTAACTTGTTGGAAATTAAGTTGGACTCAACACCCGAGTGATGAGCTCTCTACCTACAGAACACACCGCGCGCCAAAACAAATAAAAGCTCTCCGCAACTGCACGACAACATGACGGGTATATTTCCTTATTTTTATTTGAATAAATATTTATTTTTTACAATTAAAACTGCAGAAGCAAGAGTTGGCTAGGGCTAGTTGGACAAATGTTTCATCAACTCTGTCGGGTTCTCAACACCTGATGATTTTACCGCGATACTTTCGCCACATCACGGTCGGCCAAACAACAAATGCTTTATGTTTTCCACTTTATGATATTTATTCCCGTCAGGTTGGCGCACATGCCTGTCTACCGGAAGCACACCGGGTATACTGCACACAGTAGAAGTCAGGTGGTGGTGTACTCACGGTACCGATTGCTGCATCCCCCCGCCGGTTACTCACCTGTGGAGCAGAACGGAAAAAAAAAATATTAGCGTGAGTAAAACACACAAACGTGAACATGACACGCAGAGATGGAAAGAATAGAGACGAGCAACAGAGCGCGGTAAAGTAAAATTCACCATTCACCAATATTTTTAAAAAAGAGAAGAGAGAGGGGGGGGGGGAAGAGACCTAAATTCTGATATAATTCGATTACAACTTTTCTTTTTTTGGACTGCGTTCCAGCTAGCAACCAGATCCAACATAAACGCAAACGCGAACGCGCGAGGAGGGAAACCATTACGGAGAGAGAATCAATG